CTTGCCAGTGTCACACAGCTGGTAAGTATCTGAAACCAGATTTGAACTCAGGAAGATGACCGGCTCCAAGAGTCTGCAAATAAATGTTTTAGAAATTCTTCTCAGGATTGTCCAGGAGATGCAGAGTACAGGTGGCAGCCACAGCAGTTCAGGATGGTCCCCAAGCCCCTCTAGAGGATGGACAAACCGGGCAACATTTGGGCATTCCAAGTTTCCCTCCCAGCTCTGACATTCCCCATTCTAAAGGTTCTTCCCAACTTCCACATTCTCTGTTCTAAGGTTCCTCTCGGCTCTGATAGTCTCTGCTGTTTCTTACAGATTTCACATTATTTTTAATATTCTAGGTTGCACTATTTTTCAGTATTCAATGTGTCCTCCCAGCTGCACATTCTTGACTATTCAGCACTTCTTCCCCTCCCTCCCAAAGGCTAACAGTAGCTACAGAGTGACATTCAACAATAAATCAGGAACTGGTTTATATTTACACACATACACACATATGGATCACTGACAGTGCAAGAAATACAATACTGTATTGCACATTTGGCCTGTATCTGCTCCTTTTGAGGGCAGGATGTGGCTTCAGGGTCATGGGGCAGGGCACTTGAAGGATGCTAGCTGCAGGATGGATGGATGGATGGGTGTCACAGGGTGATTAGACAGAGTGATGGTGGCAAGTGCAAGGCCCAGGGCTATGGGACAAGTAGGGGAATCTTCTTAAGAAGTCTGCTTGCGTGGATAGAATGATCACCTGGGAGTTTTCACATGCTCCTATGTGAAGGTTCCCCCCCAAGAGACCCATTGTGTAGGGTTCAATTGGATGTCACCTCAAGGTCTTTATTTAGGAGACTCACAGACTGCTGAATACCAAGCATGAACCCCAAGGGGACCAGACAAAACCCTAAGATGCAGGGCTAGTTCACCTGTGGGTACATAGGCCGGAGATGCACTGCACAGGGAAAGGTGTTGGTGGAGGGCAAAGGTAAAGGACTTGGCATCAGGACATCTGGGGTCCAGTCCCAGCCCTGCCATTTTGCCCAAGTCATTTCTTCTATGCACCCCCCAATCCCAGTCTTCTCTTCTGTGAAAGGGGAAGATAATCCCTGACTACAGAGGACTGTGGGGAAAGCTCAAATGAGTCATAGGATTGTAACTCCTCGGAGGCCAGCCATCATGTCTCATTTTGCACATGAGGAGTCTGAGACCCAGACAGGCTCAAGGTTACACAGCTAGTGAGAGAATCTGCATTTGAACTTGGCTCCTATAACTCCTGTTTCAGTACTCTTTCCACTAAACTGAACTATTTCTGGAAAGAATCCTAGAGATCCTCTAGTCCAGTTTTTTTGTATTGTTTTGTTTTGTTTTGTTTTTTACCTGTCTTGTGTCCTGGACCCCTTTGGCAGTCAGTTTGGTCATGTTTTTAAATAATTAAAAGAAATGCTCAATTTCAGTTAGAGGTTAGTGAAAATAAAGGTGTCATTTTTCCCGTTCATATTCACAGCTCCCTCTCCCCCATCCAGGTCAAGAACCCCTGATCTGGTCAAACCTCTTCCTCTTACTACTTACTCCCTGTGACTTTGAAGAGATCCCTTAATCTCTCTGGAATCTCTATAAAGTAAGGAGGTTGAACCAGATTACCCCTAAGATTCCTTCTAACTCTCAATGTAAGAGCCTATAAAATCGAGAGCTAGAGAGGATAAATGTTTTACTCAATGGTAACACAATAGCATGGATGTATTGTACCAGAGATGAGGATTTGAAACCTAGCTCCTCAGGCTCCAAATCCTTACATCTTTCTACTCCATCACTCTGCCTTTCAATCCTGAGTTATCTCAGGTAAAGCCAGAAGTACATGCACTATGCTATTAGCAATCTTTTTCTAGCCAGATATCCCAAAACACAGGTGGATCCCCTTTGCAACTGAGGACTGTTCATTCAGATAAATGGCAACAGGCACTGAACTGAATTTCTACTGGCTGCTGCTGCTCAAAGCAGTTGGACCAGAAGAGAACCTAGATTCAAATCCCAGCTCTGCCATTTACTAGTTGTGTGATCTTGGACCGGTCACTTCAACACCTCTCAGAAAATTTCAATTCCTTCACCTCCATCCAGAAGTCTTTCCTTATCTACCCAGTGGCTAGTGTTCTCTCCCTCCTTAATTTACCTTGTATTTACTGATCTTGAACTCATGCTGTCTCCCTCAAACTCCTTGAGGGCATGGATCATTTTATATCTTTACATCCCCAGTGCCTCTCATATAGTAAGTGCTTAATAATTGCGTGCTGACTTTGAAATGTATTGAATTGGTCCCTCCAGACCTCATTAGCCTCATCTGTAACATGAAGTGCTTGGACTACGTAATGTCTAAGTAAGTTCCCTTCCAGATCTAAATGGTCCTGTCATCCTATTTTACAGAAGGGAAATCTGAGGCTCAGATAAACCAAGTGATTAGGCCATATTGGCAATAAGATCAGCGGCCCCTTCAGGTCTCAGTCCATATGGCTGCCTTTCCTCAACATCCTTCTTCCCTCAAACCCATGCCCTTGTCTTTTTATTGAGATCCCAGGTACTCAAAGGTAGCCTGGGACAGGACCTTGGACAGCTCCAGAGTGAGGCTGCCCACAGCCTTTCTCATAAAAGGGTCCTCTTAGTACAACAGAGTTTTTGTTCTCTTTTTGGCCAAAGTGGAATCAGCCTCGCTTTCCCACCTACTCACCCAAGTATTTGCTGGAAGAACGCTCTTGTAGAGTCAGGACTGGTGGCTTAGTTCAGTCCCAAAAGATCTAAGGCTACTTTACTGTTTCTCCCAAAGTTCATTCTATCTCCCATCTCCATGACTTTACACAGGCTGGAATGCACTTCCTTCTCACCACCACCTCCTAGAATCCCTACCTTCAAGGCTCAGCTCAAGCTTCTTTATGAAGCCTTTCCTGATTTGTTCAACTGCTAGTGCCTCCCCTCAATTATCTTGTGCATCTTATGCATGTATGGTGTCTACACTTATATATGTACATCTTCTCTGGCTAGATTGTCAACTCCTCAAAGTCAGGGACCAATTATTTCACTTTTGTCTTTGCATCCCCAAGTCTACCACATAGTAGGCACTTAATAAATGCTTATTTGTTTGATTGTCTGACATTGGAGTTATAGATTGTTCAAGTTGGGATGCACTTTGGAGCAGAGCGTGTCAGAGCTGGGAAGTCTGTGGTACATTTCATGTCAGAGATGGAAGGGGATTTAGAGATTATCTAACTCAACACCACCATTTTATAGAGGAGAGACTTAGGCCCAGAATGGGGAAGGAATTGTCCAAAGGTCACAAAGCAAGTCAGTGGCTGAGCTGGGACCAGAACTCTAGTCTCCTAACTCCCCATCTTTCTTCACCACTCCAGTAGCCGCTCTTAAATGACTATTAGGTGGGTCATGGTAACCCTCAACAAGACAGCCCACTTCCTTCACAAAAGAACCCTTTCTCCAGCCTCAAATTTGTTCTCTGGTGTTTCTAGTCCTTTCTTGGTTTGATGAGAAACTTGGGATGAACCCTCACCAAACTGAACCTGCCTCACGAGGATACAATATGTATTGTGGGCTAATTCCTTCTAGTCACACACACTCCAACCTAATGTACCTTTTTGCCATCTGGAGACTGGAAGGTGTCCTGAGCTCATAGGTGTAAATGCCCCTAAATTATGAATTACCAGTTTAGAGGAAAAGGCCTTCATTCCTGGGCAAGCCATTAGTTTGCCAGCTGTTAATGTAGTGAGCTCACCATCACTGGGATTCTTCCAATAGAAGCTGAGTGATCATGTGGGTAAGTTGTAAAGGGGGTTTTTGTTTAGGTATTGATTAGACTAGACACCTTGGAGGACCTAACAAGCTCTGAGAGTCTAGGATTTATTTTAGCTTAATTGCCTACTCTTTCAGGAGCATGGGCGGTAGTTGGGGGCCCTATATTCAGTTTCCTTATATCCCACCAAACAGACACACTGCGATTGGCTTTCCAGGATCAGACCTGCTGAAGAAGGGATCAGCTACTTGCTAGTAAATGAATTTTGGATAGTGGAGAGGCAGGTTGGCTCCAGGCAGAAGGAAAAGATACAAAGCCAGCACCCTAGAAACACCTCCCCTCTCACTCTTTTTCATAATGGAACCCTGAACATGCTTTAGAGGAATCATTGAACCCCACCCCACCTTCACCTCCACTCTCAAGAAATAAATTTTATCTAACCCAACCTGGGCTCCTTCCCTTGTTAAGACCACAGTAGAGCTGGATAGGTCTTTAAAGGTCATCTAGTCCATATCTTTCCTTTTACAGAGGAGAAAACTGAAGTCCACACAGAGGAAAAGGTTTGCCCAAGATCAGCCATCCAGGAAATAGGAAAGTGGGAATTTGAACTCAGGTCCTCTGACTCCAGATCCAGTCTTCTTTTTACTGTCTCTCCCAGTTTCTTTCTCTGTGAAAAGGAACAGGTTAGACTTGATAACATTTGAAGTCCCTTCCAGTATGAAATCTCTAATCCCGTATTTCCAGGCTCCCCAGGGATCAGCTCTTTCCTTATTGCCCTCAAACCCCAGGAATACCCTTAGGACAGGGTTAGGGTTCTCAGGGCAACCAGGAAGGAAACCCATTAAGGAACAGGATGGGAAATAGATAATTTTGTACATGTCTCTCTGCAGCTAACCTTGTATTGGTCATATAGATGGCCCTCATGTTAAGAAATCAGCTTGTGCCTAAAAAGATATTATATAGGGCAAACCTTGGGGTGAAGCCTTTTGTAAAATGGGAAATGCTTTTTCTAAATGAATAGTCTCACTCCAGTGGGATATGGTACAGTGCTATGGACAGGACCTTTGATTTGCATTTAGAAGAAGTGGGCTCAAATCTTGATTATGCTACTTCCTAGCTGAGTGACTTTAGGTGGGTTACACCTTTTCTCTGGAACAAAGTTCTGTCTTTTGTGAAATGGGGAGGGAGGAGGGGGGCTCAATGTCCTCAAAAGTCCTTTCCAACTCAAAAGCATTTATAAAGCAGGGCCCACTCACAAAGGGTTGAGAGCATCACATTCTCCAGGACCTGGAATACAAATTGCAGATTCCACCAGGACCAGTTATAGAAGAGAGATACTGAGGTCTGCAGGAGAGCTGTTGAGTTAACAAAGTGTGGGAGTAGGAAGAATTTCAAGGGAAAGGAAAGAGTGTGGAAAAGTAGGAGTTTGGGGAGAGTTCCCGAAGGCAAGGGGAGCATGGCCTGCTAGGCCTAGCAGGAGCAGTTGGGTTGAAGGAGCGGTGGGGTATCTGTGAGGCGAGTGTTCTTGGCCCCACTGGCCAGGGCAGGGTCTGTATCCAAGGTCTCGGTCATCTTGTCGCAGATAACATCCACTAGTCTCTCAAAGACTTGCCGGACACAAATGTTCTCCTTGGCGCTAGCTTCAAAGAAGTCAAACCCTGGAGAGAGGGGAATAGAACTTGATGAATCCTAAATCTAGCAAGAGTTCCTCAAGGCTATGACAGAGAGCCAAGCTTGGAGTCTGAAGCCTGAAGCCACCTCAGTGCTAACATTCACTGGTTTTGTGGCACTGCCTTAAATACTCTTCAGTCTCCATTTTCTTCTTCAAAAAATGATAATATTTACATCCCTTCTCTCCTAGGGTCTTTGTAAAGCAAAGCCCTTAAGAGTCCTGTAGTTGGAGGAGACAAGGACTGTCTGTCATCTAGTCCAACCGTGACCTGAAGTAGGAATCCCCCAGAGACTGAGAACAGAGAGAGGGGGAGAAGAAGAAGAGAGATAGGAAGAAGAGGCAGAAGGAGAGAGACAGGAGGGGATGGAGAGACTTGGCCCAAGAGAAGGAGAGGATCTCCTCTAGGGGCAGCTAGGTGGCACTATAATGAATAGAGCACCAGCCCTGGGGTCAGGAGGATCTGAGTTCAAATTTGACCTCAGACACTTACTAGCTATGTGATCCTGAGTAAGTCACTTAACCCCAATTGCCTCAAAAAAGAAGAAGAAGAAGAAGAAGAAGAAGAAGAAGAAGAAAGAAGAAGAGAAGAAGAAAGAGAAGGAGAAGGAGAAGAGCAACAGGGAGATGGAGAAGGGTGAGGGAGAGGGCCAAGAGTAGGTGAGACAGGGAGAGGAAGGAGGGAAAGGCACTAGAAGGCCTGTCCCTTGACTGTCAGGACTGTAATTAGTAACTGATTGTGGATCTCATGAGTTCAAACTCAGAGGCTCCTGCCCCACCCCCACCCTTTGGTCATTAACAAGTATCTTTGTTGTTTTAAACTCAAACAAAACCTTTTCCATTTTCAGTCCCTTTTCTACTGTTGGCCTTGGGGAAAGGTTCAGAGGTCATCAGTTTAGCATTGGAATAACAGCTGACTTTGATCAAGGTTCTAAGGTTTGCAAAAGCCCCACCATGTCCAATCAGGGCCCCATAACCACCCAATGGGGCATTATTATGCTAGCCAATACCAGCTGACATTGGTATAGCTCTTCAAAGCCCTTTGTGGTATCTCTTTAGATCTTCACAGCCAACCCTGAGAGATGGATGCTATTATTATCATTCCCCTTTTACAGATGAGGAAACTAAGGCTCTAAGAGGTTATCACTTGCCCAGAGTCATACAGGCTACTTACTACTAAGTGTCTTAGGTCACATTAGAAGCCAGGTCTGCCTGAGTCAAATCCAATGCTCTGTCTATGAGGTCACACAGCCTCCACTCCATCTATCTCACAGAGGTGGTTGGTTATGGGGAAAATGCTTTCCAAATCTTAAAGAGCCTTGTGTTATAATAATCACAATCTGCAAACCTCAAAGAGCTTTATTGCAATTCTATTCTCTTTTAGGATCAATTGAGATAATATTTGTAAAGTGCTTAGCTCAGTACCTGTCATGTAGTAGGTTCTTAATAAATGCTTATTCCCTTCTCTTCCCCCCTGAGTTTATATTTAATGTTCAATTAATTATTATTTATATTGGTATTAATCCCCACATAAAATTAAACACAGAAGAATAATAGGGGTACGATTTGTCCCAGAGCTGATTCTATTTGGACTCCTTTGAAAAAATGAGAATAAGATAATAGTAAATACTAACAGCACTAGTTAGCATTGACATACATCTACTTTGGTCCTTGAAACCAACCCTGTCAGGTAGATGTTTTCATTGTACTGCTCTACAGATGAGGACACTGAGGGAGCTATAATTATTTATGAATGATTGATGCTAATAAGTGAGGAGGCCAATGACAGGGCATCTCCCCTCAGGCTGCAGTGGCCAGCAAAAGCTTCCTGGAGGTGCTGGAGCTTGAGCAGGGCTGAATTTGGACCAGGAGAGGAGGGCGGCAGCATCAAGGCATACAGGTAGGAACTTGGGATAGAAGGTTCTCTTGAGATAATGTGCACAAGATGTTACTAGAAAGATGCTCTTGGCTGGAGAAATCTGTCAGAATTAACGGACTCCAGGACTGCGTCTTACATCAGCCCTGCACCAATATCCCTCCCTCTATATGGCCCTTCCATGCCATTGATACCAGCTAACAGGCATTCCTGACATTTCCTCTGCCTCCCAGCCAGGCAGAACCTTTCCATGGAGTCATTAAGAGAAACCTTCAGCAACTGACAATGGAGTGAAGACAAGGAACCAATTAGTCTGATTGTCTCCAGGCAGGTGGAAAAGGCTGAGCCCCAAGTAGGCTGCTGCTGCCCCTGGAGTTCAGTCAGATGGATCTCTCCATGAGATCCCAGTCACTGGAGGCCATCAGGCCATTTGCAGTGAGCTGTCGAAGGGACTGATGCTTCAGGCAGCTCAGATCCACTAACCTCTGAGACCCTTTCAAATAGTCACAGAATCTAAACCTCAGAAAAGCTCTCCAGCAGCCCCTACAAGCAGCCATCCAGCCTTAGTTTCAAGCCCTCCAGGAATGGGGAGTTCATTCATTCCCATTTGGAATTTCAAGCCTTTCACAGCCTCTAGTCAGTCTTGGCAGGCTTAATGCACACTATTCCTCTTCTTGAACTCTTCGGTCCAGCCAAAGTGGCCTTCTTGCCACTTCTCACACAGATTAGGCCATCTCCGGCCTCCATGCGTTTGCTAAGGCTGTCCCCTATGCCTGGAATGCCCTCCCTCCATCCTTCCACCTTCTAGAACCCCTAGCTTCTCTCATAGCCCTAAAATCCTGTCAATGCACAAATCATCCTTCCTCCTGCCCCGTCTCCTTGAGTGGCCTCAAGCCCCCACGCTTGGGAGCAGGCTATTAGGCAGCCCGAGGACCTGCTAGGCAACAGGGCTACTGCCTTAGAGCTGGGCAAGCTTCCTCCCCAGGCTTCCTTCCCCTTCTGCAAGGCTGACACACACACACATACTTAACATGCTAGTCATATACATTGCATGCATGCATACACGCATTACCAAGCTGCTCAGCAAGGAGCTTCCCCTTCTCAGTGGGCACGACCCTCTCATCCTCCATGTCACACTTGTTCCCTACCAGGATGACCTGGGCGTTGTCCCAGGAGTAGGTCTTGATCTGGGTAGCCCTGGAGCAGAGGGAGAAAGAGCGGTGGGGTTAATCACTTGAGTGTACTTGGGCCTGGGCACTGAAGGTTCTACCTAGGACAGCTCCCTGTCCCCAATCCAGAGGGCTTAAACCACTCCTCCCACCTCTCCCTCCCCTACTCCCATCCAGTGCTGGAGACAGGCTGGGTCTTCCCATCCTGAGTCAGCCAGTCAGTGAATCAACAAGCATTTATTACTATGTACCAGGAATTTTGCTAAGTGCTTGGATAGGAAGAAAGGTAAAACCCAGTCCTGACCTCAAGGAGCTTACACTCTATACGTAGGTAGCAAACAGCTAGGTGCGTACAACATAGAGTCTGTATAGAAGAGAGGCAATCTCAGAGTGAAGGCATTGGATGGTTTAGGGGAAGGATCTGAGAAAGGCCTCCTGTATAAGGTGGAATTTTGGCTGAATCTTGAAGGAAGCCCAGGAGCCAGGAGGCAGAGGTCAGGAGAGAGAAAATTCCAGACATGGGGATGGGAGGGGGAATGAAAAAGCTCAGAGTTAGGAGATGACATCTTTTTACAGGAACAGCAAAGAGGTCAGAGGATCTGGATTGCAGAGTACATGGAAGGGGGTAAGGTGTAAGAAGGCTGAAAAAGGAGGAAACGTCCAGATTACAAAGGGCTTTCAAACCCAGGGCATTTTATATTTCACCCTAGAAGTAATAGGGAGCCACTGGAGTTTATGGAATAGTAGGGGTTACATGATTAGACCAGGACGTCAGAAAACTCCTGGGTCTGCCTCATAGTAGAGGAGTAACCTGGGCAAATCACTTAGCCTCTCTAGGCCTTAGTTTCTTTATCTGTAGAATGAGGGAGTTATACTAAATGACCAATTGAGGATCTTATACTTCTAGCCCTCAGTTTCCCCATATGGAAAATAGGATAACAATATCTGTCTTAATCTCCTCATGGAGTTATCGTGAAAAGAAACAAGACAATGGCTGCAGGGATCCATCAAAACCTAGGAGTAATGTACTTATTTCTATCCTCTGCCCCAGGGTGAAGAGGAGGGAGGAAGGGGCGGCTATGGGCTGTGTTTTAGAGTGATTACTCATAGTATGGAGCTTAAACACTGGGGCTGAGGGTCTCAAGAAATGGGCTCTAGTCTTAAATCTGTTACTAAGTCCCTCCCCGGTCTCTGTGCCTCAGTTTCTCATAGGATCAGAGTTCCGGAGTGACAAGGTCTCATTGAGGCCATCTGATCCAAACCCATGATTTTACAGAAAAGGAAACTGAAGCTGAAGAAAAGGACCAATATCAGCCAGGTGGTAAGTGACAGGGGCAGGACTACTTCATCTAGAAGATGAGAATGGCAGAATGTAAGCCCTTTGAGAGCAGGAACTGTGTCATTTCTGTCTTTGTATCCCAAGCACCTAATGAACACAGTACTTAGCAGGTAGACTGAGTTTATTAAGGACCTGTTGAATTGAACTGAATTGAAGAGGGGGTCGATGTATGAGAGGCCCCTCTCAGCTTGAAGCTGACTAAATTGGAAGTGAAGAGACATGGGTCTAAATCTTACTGGCCATGTAACTATGGTTACATTTTTTCACCTCTCTGAGTCTCAGTCTCTTCCTCTGTAAAATGGGGATAATAACCTAGTACTCCCTACTGCACAGGGCTCTTGGGAGAAAGCACTGTAGAAATGGGAGCTGGTGTTATGATAACAGACCAGTGTGATTGGCTCAGAGTTTTTGGTCTCCTTTTGCCACCGGAAGGTGGGATAGAGGCAGTCCTGCAGTAAAACCCCCACCCCAAAGCAAGAATGGGAACAGGCCTCCCGCAAGAGCCTTGAGCCTCATCCTGGTAAAAGGTGAGATCTGAGTCATTGATGCAAAAAGGTCACCGGAGCTAGTCAGCTTGGAAGTGAGACTGGAGGAGGGGAGGTGTGACAGGAGGTGGGGCCAGATGTGGTACAGCTAGAAAAGAGGACGAGTCTGAGAGGACGGGGTGTTAGGGGCTGTGTGCCCAGGGGCCTTGAGGTCGGCATCATCTGGGGCCAACCGGCCTTACTCTCCCAGATTATCAGTTTCCCAGCCTCATGAGAGTCTTAAACTTGACCTTGACCCAATTTAGGGGTTTTAAATCTGAGGTCTGTGAATTAAAAGGGGGGGGGCTTTCTTTATAATCCTATGTATCTTATTTTATACATTTAAAAACATTCTTCTGGGAAGAGACTAGTAAACTTCCCGAGACTGCCAAAAGGGTCCATGACACAAGAGGTTAAGAACCCCTTGACCCAAAGCTCAGTTCAATCCAATTCAACAAGAATTTATGACCCAGCTACCCTGTGGGAGGCCTTGTGGGAGGCCCTGGGGCTGCAAGGACCGAAGTGAAATGTCTCCTGCCCTTAAGGAGCTTTCATTCTACTGGGGGGAGGTGCATGGAGGGAAGCAACAGGTAACCTCAATACTGGGTCTGACCCCAACCACACCCTGAATAACAGGAAGCTGCCCAGAAGTCTGATCCTAATTCTCACCCTGCTACATCCACTGTCTCCTCCCAGTGACGTGCATCCCTTCTATTGGCAGATGGTATTGGTCTAATCTTATGACGTTTGGGCTGGGACCAAGTGCCCTGGAGATGAGACTCTGGGCCGGAGAGCGTAGGATTGTGATCTGGCTGGTATGGGTAGTAAGGGGGTCAGGGCCTTTGTCCCTAATGCCACAGCAGGTTGCTGGCACTGAGGGTCCCCATGATCAACAGGGCTGGCTTTCCCATAATCAAGAGCTTTGACAACCTTCTTAAGGCTGGGATGCCCCTGAGACCTTCCAGCAAGATCCCAAGAGAGCACTGCCTTCCCAGACCCAAAGAGATCAAAATAGTAGGGGCGGATGAATCTGCTAGGCCCAGAACCCTATGAGCTCCCCAAAGGGTCTTAGAGATCCTGATGGATGGATCCTGGGGGTCCCATCTCTATAATGCTGTGAGGTTTGCAAAGCCCTTTTCCCACAATTCTAGGAGGTAGGCAGAGGCAGCTGTAGATTGAGCACCAGGAGTGGGGTCGGGAAGGCTTGAGTTCAAATCCAGACTCAGATACTGCCTAGCTGTGTAACCCTAGGTAAGTCATTTAACCTTGTCCGTATCTCATTTGTAAGATGGGAACGATAATAACACCTCTGTCCGAGGGTTGTTTTTAGGATTTGGGGACTAAATGTTTTAAAGGATTTAGGATTAAATGCTTTTAGGAAATAGGTGTAAAGTGCTCACTTAGCACAGTGCCTGGCACTGAGAAGATGCTATATACATGTTAGGCAGCAGCGGTGGTGGTGGTGGTAGTGGTAGTGGTAATAGTAGTAGTGGTGGTGGTGGTAGTGGTAGTGTTACACTTGTCTTATAGACAGTCTTATAGATCGGAAGGTAAGCTTCTTGAGAACAGGAACTGTTTTCATTTTGTCTTTGTGCCCTCAGCTTCTGGCAGAGAGCCTTGTCTTTAAAGGCCTGGATTGGACTGGATCAAGACTCAGAAAAGACAAATGACTTTGCCCAAGGACACACAGTGCATTAGGACAAAGCAAAGCAGGATCCAGACACCAGTCTCCTGACTCCTGGCCCAGGCTCTTGCCATCCCACTATGCTAGCTGACTGTGCCCAGGGAAAAGGAAGCAGCTTCCTCCAAAGTCTGTACAGGATGGTTGTGGTACTGACTCTTACAGCTTAACTAATCGGTCTGAACCTTGCTTCTCCTTCCCCACAACCTGTGGTGTTGGGCACTGAGGATGGGGAGATATGGTCCAGAGCGCATGCATTCCCTACCAGTCCTGGACAGCATTGAAGGACTCTTCGTTGGCAATGTCATACATGAGGATGAAGCCCATGGCACCACGGTAATAGGCAGTAGTGATGGTCCGGTATCTCTCCTGGCCAGCTGTGTCCTAGGATGAGACAAAGCAGTCAAGCTTTAGGCTCCAGGGTATCCCCTAGGGTTCTCTAAAACATTCCAAATCCATCTATGCATATATCCATTAATTTGTGATGCAATTCATCTATTCATGCATCCATCCATTCATTATCCATGCATGCATGCATGCATCCATCCATCCACGCACCCATGTACCCCTTCATCATCCATGCATCCATTCATGTATCCATTCATCATCCATCTATCCATCCATGCAACATTCTTGTATCCATATACCTATCCACGCATCCACTCATCATTCATCTATCCATTCTTGTATCCATCTATTCACCCATTACTTCTATTCCCACAAAAAGTGCAGTCGGTTGGCACAGTGGACAAAAGCTAGGCCTGGAGTCAGGAAGACCTGAGTTCAAATCTGGCCTCAGACTCTTACTAGCTATATGACCTAAGCAAATTATTTAATCTCTGTCTATCTTGGTCTCCTCAACTGTAAAATGGAGATTATAATAACATCTGGCTCCTAAAGCTACTGTTAGATCAAATGAGATAATATTTGTAAAGCACTAGTTCCTGGCATTTAGTAGTACTTAATAAATGCTCCTTTCCTTCCTTCCTACCATCCATCCATCCATTCATGCATCAATCTGTGCATTCATCCATTCATGCATTCATTTATCCATCCATGCAGCCATTCAGCCATTATATTTGTTCCTATAAACAGAGAATAATGGAAATTGTCATAGGGTGAGTGCATCTGAGAAGTCCAATTCCTCCATGGAAGCAACTCTCATTTCCATAGCATTTTAGAGTTCACAAAATTATTTTCCTCACTATGATGAGGCAGGGGGTTCAAGGATTACTACCCAGCCCTCTTTCAATACACTCTGCAGATACCCTTCTTCCATCACCTGGAAAAGCACCTTTATCATTAGACAGCCAGAACCCTGACCTCCCTGAGACACTGGAATCTTCCCAGAAAGGTTCCCTAGCACCCAGTCTGGACCTAGCTTCTCATAAACTGGCTAATTGAATGACCACTTCTGAGGCTGAGGATCATGGGAGTTAGAGCTGGGAAAGATTTTGTTGTTGTTCAGTCATGTCTGACTTCGTGACCCCATTTGGGGTTTTCTTGGCAAAGATACTGGAGTGATTTGCCATTTCGTTCTGCAGCTCATTTTATAGAGAAGGAAATCGAGGCAAACAGGGTTAAGTGTCTTGCCCAGGGTCAGATGGCTAGTGTCTGAGTAGATGAGTCTTCCTGACTCCAGGCCCAGCACTCTGTCCACTGTGCCACTTTAGAGATTGTCTAGCTAGTCTAGCAAATCTCTCAATTTGAAGCCTCTACACACACACACACACACACACACACACACACATGCACGCACACACACACGCACGCACACACATATACGTATGTATATGTCTCCCTTTCTGGGCAGTACCCCCCTACACTAAACTGTCCCCACCACCCCCCAATCATGACTGGACAAACTGAACATCCTTCCCTCAGTCTCTGTCTCTGCCCTTCAGAGCTGGCTGGTCTGCAATCTAGTATCAGAGCTGAAGTTTCTGGAAGTGGATTCAAATCTTGCCACTAACTACTATAACTGTGTGGCTTTAGGCAAATACTTCACCTCTGGGTCACGATTTCCTCATCTGCAGATTGGGGTTGTTGGAATATTGATGGCTATGGGAATTGGTCTGCTCTTTCTGAAAGTCAACTTGGAATTACATTGAAAAAGTGATGAAAGTATCCACACTCTTGGACTTAGAAATCCCATTGCTAGGTACATATCCCAAGGAGGTTAGAGACAGAGGGACAAAGATAACAAAATATTAACGGCAGACCTTTTTGTGGAACCAAAGAACTTGAAATTAAGTAGCTGCCCATTGGGATGTGGTTGAATATAGAAAAAATATACTATAAGTAACAATGATTATTAAGACTCAATTAATCAAGCAAGAAGCATGTATTAAATGCTTACTATGCACCAGGAACTGTGATAAAGAGCTGGGGATATCAAGAAAAAGCCAAGAAACCCAAACCTGTCTTTCCCCTCAAGGAGCTTACATTCTAATGGGGGAGATAATATACATAGATATATGCAAGATAATTACAGAGCAGATGGAAGGTGGCCTTAATGGGGAAGGCACTGGGGATGGAGGGGGTGTGGTGAGAGGAAGTGCCTCCCACAGGAGCTGATTCATGAGTGAGTCTTAGAAATCAGAGAAACACCAGAAAGTTTAAATGAACTGAGGCAGAATGAAGTCAGCAGAATGAAGTAAACAGCGTACATGATGACTGCAACCATGTAAATGGAATGAACAAAAAAAAAATTAACCCAACACTACCATTATAATGAGAAGCTTGGACTCAGAAGAAAGCTGAGAACATGTGTGGTGGCTTCACTGCAGAGGAGGCAGCCTTTGGGTGGGGCACTAACGGCCAGATGTGACGGATGGGTTGGCTGGTTTTGTTAAACTGCTTTTCTCCCCGCTTTCTTTCTTTTATTTTTTAGATTAAAAGTTCAATTAGCATCAGTGGGCAGTGGCCAAGTAGCTAGCAACTCCCCCTTTCTTTTTTATTTTTTGTTAAAACAAAGGAAAGGATATCTGAGTAGAAGAGAGGAATATATAAGGAAATCAAGGTGAACTTAACACAAAAGAAATGAATACAGATGCAATTTTTAAAAAGACAAAGGTGTTGGGCTAGCTTGGGGGTCCATGAGCTCGTTTTTTAAAGAACATTTTGGGTCTATGATGAACACAAAAGAGATTAAGAACCCCCAGGCTAGATGATCTCTGGAACCTTCCTACTTAAAAATCCCATGATTCCTATGGTTCCCTGACAAACTTATCCTTGCTAAGGATCTGTCTGAATTCCGTCTCACCTGACCATGTGCCTGTCCAGCCATGGTACAGGGTAGGTACTTGGATTTAACCATGGTTAAATCTCATTGTCATAGATTTAGAGTTCAGAGACCCTTAGAGGGGATGGAGCCCAACCCCTTCATTTTATAGATGAGGAAACTCAAGAGAGGGTGAATTGTTTAAGATCATACAGCTCATGCAGGCAGACCTAGGATTTGAACCCAGATCCTCCAATTTCAGAGTTGGTGCTTTTCCCTTTGTGCCAACCGAATCTGTGGCAAGATGGCTGATCTGTGGGGGAGGGAGGCCACTTTGGATTAAAAGGCCCATCTTCTAGACCCTCCAATCAGGTCTGAAATCTTATAAAACCTCCGAGCACTCAACAAAGAAGCTTCCCCAAAGCTGTCTGAGTCAGAGAAGGGGAGCCCAGAAAAGTGAGTGGCCCAGCCTATCCCAGGCTTGTCGCCCAGAGTCCTGGTAGGGAGAGGGATTTTGGGGGAAGGGGGGAGGAGAAGGTGCCCTACGGATCACACCGGAACTTTGTCTGCCTCCTTTTATTTTTAAAATCTCCATCGATCCCTTCCCCTGATGAGAGACAGAAATAGAACCCAAGAAGAGAGAGGAAAAGGGAGAGAGAAAGAGGTATGAGTCACCGGCTACTTGGAGAAAGAAACTGTCATCCGGGATGATGACGTCCATGTCCCTATCCATCCCCAAGCCTCCCTCCTCAGCTAGCTTTAGGAGCCCATTTGCCAGTAAGACAACAGGAAGACTCAGGGAGATTCATGACTGGGATGTGGGGGTAGAATTTGAGCCTGGCTGGAATGAACAGGGACTGCAGGGTCTCAGAGATGGGATAAGGGGCAGAGGGAGAGGCCCCCATGGACTGAGACTGTACCTCCAGAGCCCTGAGGGAGGAGAACGTCACTGCCTTGGCTGAGGAACAATGTCCATTCCACTTGGGAACGTGATTTCTCTTGAGTTCTCTAAGAATTACCTGTGGTCCTCCTCAAGTTGCTTTGTATTTCTCCCCCAGATGTCTCTTTTCTGCCTCTCTCAGCAGATACAACAGCCACATAAAAGCAAAACACTCCCTTATATACGTTTTGCATTTGCTTCTTTACATATATCTTATCTCCACCCCCCTCCAAACCCTAGTAAAATCACACACCAACTCAATTAATCTACAGTCATTTAGTAAGGACCTACAATGTGTCTGGCAGCATGCTAAACCCCAGGGACATTAAGAAAAAGCAAAACTAATCCCTGCCCTGCAGGCACTGATATTTGATTGGGGATGTCGCCATGCACATGAATCGTTACTACAAGATACATACACGGATGGAAGGTGAGGACTAGAAACTCCTAGAGAGCAGACGTTGTTTCCTTTTTTTTTTATCTTTATGTTTTTTTGGTTTTTTGGTGAGGCAGTTGGGGCTACATGACCTTGCCCAGAGTCACACAGCTAGTAAATGTCAAGTGTCTGAAGCTAGATTTGAACTCAGGTCCTCTTGACTCCAGAGTCAGTGCTCTATCTACTGTGCCACCAAGCTGCTCCTCTTTTTTAAGGGTTCTAATAATTGTTTGGATTTCTTCTGGTTTTATTGTGATTTTACCTTATTTGCTATTCTTAAAAAAGTTAAATTTTTTTTTCCCAAAGGAAAGCTGCCTTCTTTCCATCCCATATCTGCTCCTTGCCCTCTCTCCCTTGAGAAAACATGGAAAACAAGCACTGTTTAATTTTGGTCTTTGTATCCTGAGTACCTCACAATGCCTGGCACATAGTAGGTTCTTAATAAATGGTTAAAGAATCCCTACCTTTCTGTTGTGATCCTTCCCTGATTCCCTCCACATAGACTCTGCTCCCTCTCCCAAATCACTTGTGGTCCCCTATACGTCCTGAGCTTTTCCATCCTGATGCAATCCAATTGTCTTTGTATGCATAGTAGTGCCTAAGCATAGCAGGTGCTTCATAAATATTTATTGAATTTAGATCAAGATGAAGAGAAGACAGAAATTATGCCATCTGTGGACTGTTGGAAGAGCTAAGGATGTTCTGCCTGGAGAAAAAAAAAGGCTCACAAGGGCTATGATTAGCTGTGTACAATTATTTGAAGAGCTGTCTTTGAGAAGAGGGAG